GTCTGTCTGTCTGTATGTGTGCGTGTGTGCGTGTCTGGCCGTTACACTGATATCTCAAGAACCATATGTTGATTTTTGTTGAAACTGGATGCATAGATGCTCTGAGCTAATGTGCAGATTTGATTAAGTTTTAGTTTAAACCATTCATATTAATTACCTAATTTGCATGATAATTAGCTATTTTTAGGCACTTCCATGACTGAAAGGACCACACATTGGATTTTCGTGAAACTTGGTACTTAGATGTTCTCGACTAATGCACATATTTGATTAGTTTTGGGTAAACATGCATAATAATTACCTAATTTGCATAATAATTAATATCTTTTTTTATTCTAATTAATTTTCAATTTTGGTCCTTATTAGTTGAAACAACACACACACCCAAAGCTATGCATAATAATTCATTTGGTTCATTGGGATACTCCACAGGCATAATTAGTTTAATGTTGAAAAACAAGCATATAAAATATCTAAACACTATTAGCCCATTTCTGATATCTTAAGAAAAATCAGATTTAAATTGAATTCATCACAGGGGTCCTCTGGAATTAATCAGACTGAGAACCACAGATGTAAAAACAAATGTATTTTTTGTAAGTCTTATAAATTGTGATAATGTGGATCTCATTCTTGTGCATATCAAATAGTAGACAAACATTAGTTGCCAAGCTGCTTGTTTGCAAGGCTAACCTTAAAATTTTTAATAAATTTTAATGCGTCTGGTATACTTTCAGCACACAGATTTGTGGCCTTGTTTGAAAAAAACTACTGAACACAATTGTCTCAAATTATCTATACTAATAGGGCATATTGTGAACTTGTTGACCTGACATTTAGACTATTGAAGGGGAAATTTTTAATCTCATCTGCGAATCTAGGCATTTTGAATTTTCGTCTACATATTATTTCCAAGTTTGATGTATAATTTCGTTTTTGAATATATTTGAAAACATGAGAATTTGAATTTGCTAATGTATAATGAGTGTATATATGTACATTATGCCACATTAGTAAATGACAGCAAAACCAGTTTGAAACAGTGTACATCTGTTATTTGAAATTGAGAAGAGAGCTTTTTGATTCCTGTGTGCAAACACACAAGTGTGTGATTTTCCTGTCTGTATGTCTATCTGTTTTAGCAGTATCTCAAGAACCTCTATTCAGATTTCAATGAAACTTTGGTATATAGATGCTGTTCGACAATGTGCAGACTGATTAGATTTGGGTTGAAATCTGTTCATAATAATTACCTAATTTGCATAAATATTTTTGGCTTTTCCACTGATATCTATAGTGCTAATCATTACATTTCAAAAAAACTTGGTACATTAAAGTTCTACAACAATTCACAGACTTGCTCAATTTTGGGTTGAAATATGTTCATATTAGTTACGTAATTTGCTTAATAATTCATAATTTGTTGGCTTAAGGTAGCGAGACTATT